GAATGTATTTCAGTAAATTTAAAATTGTTTACATTTCTTCTCTTTTTATCGTCTACTTCAAACTATACGATAACTGTAGGCATCCTGTAATATGAGAATGTTAACCAGTTATATATAAGATGTATGTCAACTCACACAAATTGTACTAGAGTTACATACAGAGTATGTCGCAACCCTTTAGGGAAACCCATCTCTTGATACCCCCACCCTGTACTCCCACTTTTTTGGTGCTCCCATTATTATGATACCCCCACTTTCTTGGTGCCCCCATTATTACGGTACTCCCACTTTTCCTTGTGCCACCACTATTATGGTACCCCCACTTTCTTGGTGCCCCCACTATTATGGTACCGCCACTTTCTTGGTGCCACCACTATTATGGTACCCCCACTTTCTTGGTGCCCCCACTATTATGGTACCGCCACTTTCTTGGTGCCCCCACTATTATGGTACCGCCACTTTCTTGGTGCCCCCACTATTATGGTACCGCCACTTTCTTGGTGCCCCCACTATTATGGTACTCCCCCCCCCCCACTTCTTGTTGCCCCCACTGTCATCAGTTCCCCAATTCTTTGCCTCCCACATTCCTCACTATCTTGTGGTACCTAGGTTTTGTTGTAAAAGAAATTAAAATCTGCTTTAGTCTACATCTCCAGCACCTACATACACCACCAATTATTCAGACGACAACATCATTTTCAAACAATTTTCTGGTGTCCCTGTAATATATTAAACATACAAGCAGCGAACATTCGTCGCAGTCATCTAGAGATATAAAAGCACTTATATTTTAAGCATCTTAGGGTCTAATGATATCCTAATCAGGCCAACCCATAATGGTGTTCTCAAACGATTTTTAACAGACCCCAATGAAGCTCCTACACAGATACATCTATAACAATCGGGATTTCCTTGCATGCGTCTACACAAAGTCTTGACCAACTATAAATTTTCTGAAATACATTCACAAATACGAATAGTGAGTTTGTTTATATACAATTGTAACACGTCATTATAAAGGCTAGACAATTTATGGCTTTGATATTTGTATTTTGATGAATAGAAGTGTCAGCCTATTAACTGAACGCAGTTCGTGAAATTGCGACTCTTAACTATTGTTGATTCTTATGGTTCTAATTAGGCGTGCTTTTTAAATAATTCACGAATTATCAGATACAAATCTACGACTATCAAACTAATAACTGACGAGGTCATTATTCTTATTGTTTGATTCTAACAAGAATTGTTGAGTTTCGCAACTGTGATTAATTCAATGTTCGCGTCCATTCCTAACCTAAGCCCGTCATTAGCGATTCAGTTGCTGCGACATGTGTACGTGTGTCGCGAGGTGTTTCATTTCATGGCTAACTGGGGACCAACCGGCAGTGCTCACCTCCGAGCTCCGTCCTTTGTTGTTTGATTCGTGCGTTTTGTGTGCATTTCGTCTTTGTGATTCCGTGTTTTTCATACCGGTGTTTCTTTTTAAAAGTTTTTATTTCGCCTGTGTGTTTTTTCGTTAAATTGATTAAATAATCGTGAAGGTAATTTATTATTTAAGAAATTTTTATTAAAAAAATCAAGTCGAATCGTATAATTCAATATAGATCTACTATTTTCTAAACTAAGGGTTCAAAATCAATTGTTGGATTTGGTAGGCCCTGTGAAAACATGTGAAGTGCTTTATTGAATGTGATTTTGTTCTGAGGTTTCACACGTGCCGTACGCAACATATTTTCTTTTCTCTCCGGTTTCGAATTACTATTGTAATTTATTCAGTGCTGTTAAATAACTCCATTGAGATTTTAATTTTTTAAAGATTAGAAATGTGAATGTTTTAGAAATATGAATGTATTAGAAATATGAATGTTTTTTGTGTGAGCTCTACTATTATGGAGCGTCTAGAGGACATTGCTGACATCGTAATTCTGTTTGTAAATTGCAATAACGTTTTTGTACAGTCGGCTTTTGTAAGCGGATAATGCATGTCTATAGAGCTAATATATAGGAGATAAAGCTTATTTAAATGGTTTATGGTTGCTATATAATGGTTGATAACTAAAAAAAAGTGTATATTTCTGTAGTTAATGAAACGTGTGTAGAAACAATGAATATGATATAGTGTATGTAAAACATGTGTTTTCCCAATTACTGCCCACTAAGTTATCGTCTGCTAGGTCTGTAAACTCAAATATTTACGGTGTTTTTGACATTTACCATAGTGAGTCCTCAAATCTATGAGTAAAACGAGTCTTTCTTTAGATTTTCGTCATACATTGGTCAAGTTAGTATAGTATATTTGATTTAAATTTTTATTCTGATGAAAGCTAGATCTAGGCATTAAATTAAAACGACTAAACAAAAGGACATACACCACGTGGCCTGCGCATATAAATTATTTTTAAATTTCTTCTATTTAAAAAAAATCCAATTAATAAATCAATAATATTTTACTATAATTGGGCAAATCTGTAAAGATAAATTAAAATGCCTATTCTAGATATTATCGATAATAGTTATTGGAATACGTGAAATAAACTTTTGTTTTATTGTCCACCCAGGGAATGTACTTCCACCCACGGGGATTATTTTACACCCACCGGATTTCATTCCCACCAGCAGTGTTTTAATTATAATGTGACGTGGTTCCAACACCGTTATCATTGTGGGTTTGGGGTTGGGGGGGGGGGGGGGGGGGGGTGGGTCACTCCCCAGCCCCTGAAAATATCAGCGTAAGCATCACGCCGTGGGTGTGCTGTGGTCAGGCTTTATGTTGCCTTACGTCCCCAGTGTCTCTAAAACGCCCAGGTCTCTAAAGTTAAGACAAAGCTGCTGATTTAAGAACGTCTTGTAGAAGTTTTTCTTAAATGGACACATTAGCATTTCCTAGTCGTGTCTACAACGTTGAAAACATCTGCACAGCATGAGGATAGTTTTAATAATCGGTCAAGTCTTTATGGCACAATACATCACATACCCTAGCAATAGTTTTCTATATTCATTCAGTCAATTTTTGTGGTACAGTAGATGACATACCATCATGACTGTTTCAGTATTCATTCAATCATTTTTTTGTGATACAATAGATCACATAACCCAGCAATAGTTTTCTATATTCATTCAGCCAATATTTGTGCTACAATAGATCACATAACCTAGCAATAGTTTTCTATATTCATTCAGTCCTTTGTGTTACAATAGATCACATACCCCAGCAACAGTTTTCTATATTCATTCAATCAACGTTTGTGTTACAATAGATCACATATCAGATTGTATGCCTGGGGCCACATACACATAGTCTATAGGTCACAGGTGCTATGCTGAGTAAGGAAGCATCAATAGTGCTTACATCGAAGTAGTCATAGTTACAACACTATCATATCAGGACACAATACACAGACATAGTCATAATTAAAACACACGACCTATCAAATCAACAACACATCGACAAAGTCATAAGTACAACAATTCCAAAATATCAAAACAACACGCATCACCATATTTATATTTACAACAGCATATTTTTTTTCAACACTACCTTACAGAAAAAGGAATACAGCTTTCATCACCATTGTTATAATAACCACAACACATAAAGAAACACAAGCTCAGTTTATACTAGGCCACTCGAGGTAAAATTAGAACGAACACTAACTTGACTGTGTTGTTGTTTTTGGGAAACATCAATAGCCTATATTACCGATCAAAAAGTTAATTTTCTCATATTAGGAACTTTTTATAACCTAATAGACTTCTCTTTATATATATATATATATATATATATATATATATATATATATATATATATATATATATATATATATATATATATATATATATATATATATATATATATATATATATATACATAAACATAAACATATTGCACACGTGTACATAGATAACGAATCAGACGATTCTGTTAGATTTCATCATCTGCCGATCACCCATCGATTCCCTCACACCATCAAATATTGCATTGTATGCATGAATGGACATTATTCAAACGTGCAGCAGGTATGCATAATTATACAACAACAGTTGTGGACGGTAGGGGCTACTGCATAGACCAGGCATTGATGCCTTCTGTCAGTATTCATTCAATGAGATCTAGCCTAGCCTAGATCATTGTTAGTTAATGTAGCGCACTCAGTCAATGAGATATAGACTGACTCAGGTCATCTAGCCTAGCATAGATGATTGTTAGTTAACGTGACGCACTCAATGAGATCTAGCTTGGCACAGGACAGGTCATCTAGCCCAGAGGCGTAGCGAGGGGGGGGGGTGCATACCGCACCGGGTGACACCATTTAAGGGGGTGACACCAAGGCAAAAAATAGCAAAATATATAGAGAAAATTGATAATTCCACCAAATTAAGTGATTAATTCGAGTGTTAAATAGTCTTTTAAGAGGTGCAAATCAAAAGTTTGAGGGGGTGGGGGGTGCAAATTGAAAGTTTGAGGGGGGGGGGGGGGTGTGCAAATCGGTGCAAATCGAAAGTTTGTCCCCGGGAAGGGTCGCTACGCCTCTGGGGGTGACACCGTTAAGTGCCGCACCGGGTGACACCCGACCTCGCTACGTCACTGATCTAGCCTGGTATATGTCATTGTTAGTTAATGTGAAGCACTCAGTCAATGAGATCCATCCCGGGTCTATAGTAACACTTCGTTCGATGTAAAGCTATACTTAAACATGCAGTTTGACATACGAAAGTTCGATCAACTTCATATAAAAGGGAGGTCACTTTTATCATAAGAACACACACACACACATAAATGTGCAATATGTATGTGTATGTATATAATGATGAATCGATAGATTTAGGGATACATATAATATATAACTATAATTATATTTTACACGCACTCATATATGTATGTTTGTGTGTGTGATGTGTGTGTGTAAACAAAGAGATGAATCTTTTGTTGCCATTGTTAATTATCGTATTCGGACTTTGTAACACGTTTTTTTAAAATTAATTAACAATGTATTAAGTTGCCTTTACTTTTTTAATTTTGCTGAAGCAATATTACACTAGGCCTTTGTTAAACAACGCCCTCATATCACACACATTGTCTAAACGAAGATTTACACAATTGTTGAGGGCAGGTATAAATTGATTTAGCAATGTTTTCCCTGTTGACAAAGTAAAGCACATAAAAGCGAGGTTCGTATGTAAAAATATCGATTTCCGCGAAGGCCGGTATGGCCTACCCTCATGAAGTTTTACCAAGCAGACGGGAGTGAATGTGTTTATGTAGCGAGTCACTTCGTCATCCCGCAGTCACGCTACACGCTATACGTTCATTCGTCAAATGTGATCAACTGTTGTTTTTATTTACATTTTAGGAATGTTTACTTCAATTCCGGAATTCGTAACACTCCGTTTATAGATGTGTTGTTTTTTAATACTTCTATTGTGAGTTAATTCGATTTTCGGAAAGTTTTGGATTTTTTTCAAAACTCTTGTGAGGAACAATGGCTACTCATGGAGCCCGTACAACGGGGGTTAACTCTAAACCAGTTTTGGGACGTAAAAATAGCGTGGAAGGCGACCCCTGGTGTTTAACCTGTGGCGCCAATCTAAAGGTAGAAGGGGGGACCTTCGTCAAATTGTCCCGGGTCAAAACTGGTGATCTGTGTGATCTCATGTCCCGTGTGCTGGGGGCGGAGTTCTCTGATGAGTATGCCTCGATCAATATGTGCAACAGATGCGAGAGACAACTGCGGCGTCTCGGCCGATACAACAGCATTGTCCTCGCGCGTAACGAGGGGAAAAAACTCCGCGAACAGTTGGAGAGAAACCTGACCAAATACGGTCAAACTGTTGTCGAAAGTGGCGACATTCAAGAAGCGCCGGCTAGCTCACCGCCAAAAGTCGCGGGAAAAACAACCGTTTCTTTCGCCGCGAAAACCGTGCGAGGTCCGGAAGGAATACTGAGAAAACGGCTCGGGGATATTTCTAGCAAGACTTCCGGTTCCGGAAAAGTCAGTGTTCATAACGAGGCTGGGAGGAATGTTCGGAAAACTCCAGGAGGGATTTCCGCTTTGTTGAATAAAAAAGTGTCTCCAGTTAGCCAGGGAGTGGAAGTTGATGTTATTCCAGAGGAGAAGTCCCAGAAATACGTCAATGGAACTTCAGTAAGCGCGACGTCTGCTGAAAAACCGGCAGTTCCCCAGCGTACAGTCTCCTTTCAGGATGAGCACGTTTCGAAATCTGAAGAGGAGACGTTGATGAGTCACGCTGACGATGTGGGCGTGATAGAAGAACCGGAGATGGAGAACACCAGCGACAAGGCCGCCCTGGTGGAAAGAAGTGAGTCCTTAGACGAGAGTAATCGTCACGATTTATTTAAAAGGCAGGGTAAATTCCTCAATTTTGGGTTAAGGTCGGCCTCAGATTCTAAGAAAAATGACGCCCAGATGAATCAAAACCAAGACGGGAACGCTGTAACTCAAAGGGCAGGGGATACCAAAGACAATGATGTCGGTGAGCTCTCACAGAAGGATAAGGAGTCTCCGGTGTACTGGTCCGGGCGAGTTAACCCTTTCGATGTTGAAGAAAAAAAAGACGCGACAGCCAGTAGTTTTGATTACGCTACAAGTTTCGATGACGACGTTTTCGTTAAAGACATCATCGATCTAGACGACGCTCCGTCCCACCTGACGCCTCAGACTTCGCGGAGCCTGGACTCGGTGCAGACGATGGACAGCGTGAACATCGTGCGCGAGCTCATGACGGATCTGGACCAGAAGACCTTCAAAGACTTCTCCAGGGCCAGCTCGACCTCGCTGGAATCCGAACCGGGTGTGGATCCCAACGACTACAACGCCGATAACCGAAGCAGCTTATCCGAAGTTGAGGAAAGGATTAACATCAAAACTCAATTTAAAGGAGCTTATTACAATATTGGGAGCACGGAAGATCTTCTCCAGGAGTTTGAGAACGAACTGGCAGCGGATAAGGCCAGAGCGTGCAAGTTGACGCCGATAAACAGCGTTGATAAGGATGACGGGCACGCGGGCCGGAAAGTTCCGAAACCACCGAAACAAGACGATGCGGAAAAACCCCAAGGCGAAGGTCAAGGACGCATGCGCACTAAAGGTAAAGTTCTTAAGTATGAGTCCCTTGATTTAGACCTCGAGCAGAGTAACCCGTTTATCGATGACGTGTACGGGGAGTACAACCGCAGAGTCGCGGCGAAAAAACGTGCCAAGACCGGCGTCATCGGTGCGTCGCCGAAACCTAGAACGAACATTGAGACGATCCCAGAGTCGGAGACGCAGGTGACGCAGGACGATGTCGAGACCAATGACTCCAATGACGCAGATGGCATCCCGAGTATTCCTACTGGGACGTCGAATGGACGCCCGACCCACGCCGACTCTACTGCAACTACAGCTACCCCAGGGACAGAAATAAAGAACCCAGAGGAAGATAATCCAGAATTGGGGAATAGTAGGGTGGCAGGGGAACCAGGTGATATCTCCGCCATTGAACTTCTGCTTGCATGGGGGTCAGATTTGTCAACACGCACTTTCTCATGTACCTCAGCACTTTAGTTTTACATCGGCTACACAATTTTGTTCTACACTTTCTATCACTTATATTATCAGGCTGACACCATATGTTACCAGATTAACGGCTTTTATCACCAAAACTATCGATTTTTATTCACGTTTTATTTTCTACTTACTTCATTAAAACGTGCATGAATTTATATATATATATATATATATATATATATATATGTATTTATTTATTTATAATACATATATATATATATATATATATATATATATATATATATATATATATATATATATATATATATATATATATATATATATATATATATATATACGTGTATTGACTACATCTGAAGCGAGATGTGGGAGGAGCCACAAATGTTACACACGCAGCATCAAAGTACACGAGTGATCTCAACCATATTGAATAATTTTTACACCGACACATTACAGCACGACTAGTTCTCAGTTTCTAAAAAAAGCTTTTGTGGTAGTGTAGAGTGTCGTAACGGAAATGCAATAATACATCAGTAATTACCTGCTCGTAATATATTTTATATATGTAAATGTAAAACAAAAAAAAAAGAAATATTTTAGGGGCTTTTGACTAAGTAGCTGTACACATACGTTATGTGTTATGATTTTCGTCCTTAAAACTATGTACATATTTATATCACTAACCTAACACCAGACTGTTCCAACTCCACTTTTCAAATATGTTTACAAAAGCGCTTTAAAGTTTAGTTTTCTTAACTTTTCTGTATTAAGGACTAGGTGAAATTAAAGTGTTGTGTAATTATAATGGTGAGAAATATGGGCACGAATTTTTTTTTGCCATAATGCCTTGGTAGATTTAAAACACAACGAAAAAACAACGACCAAAAATTGGACATAAAACCTTCTGGTTTTAGGGAGGCGATGTATATATATATATATATATATATATATATATATATATATATATATATATATATATATATATATATATATATATATATATATATAGTATTCGATTATTTGGACCAGCTCGAAAATCGAAACTCTACATATGTAGGTCAAACTGTCGTGGGCGATCGTGTGTTCTATTGAACTTAGATGAACGCTGTGTGCATCAAATACATTTATTTATAGTTGGTTGACCTATGAGTCACTAAGGTCAGATCTATAGATCAGTGGTACAGAGGTAAACGGAGCGTTTGATGAGAGTACGTTAACAAGGTCAAGGCTGAACGCCCGTGTTTTTTGAGTGGTCTGATCACAGTCCATTATTTAAGCAGTCTTTTTTTTTTCTTATATTCAAAATGGAACATTTGAAAAGAAATAAAACAGATTTAAATTTGTTTAAAAAGAAAGCACTTTTTAAAATATAATGTAACGATACACAGTTTTGTCTTACTTGTTTACTAATCCATTTAACACATTCATTTTAAATATATTTTTCTATATAAAAGCATTTGCTATTTTTATTCCAATCGCAGTTTAAAAAAAATATTTCATAATGTATATGATTAGGAATCATATTCTTTAGATAGAAAAAAAATTCGATGAAATAAATATATCATACTTTAAAGGGATATAAAAACTTGGTTAAAGCAAATTTCTAACTAATATTTGATTGAAGAAACCGTAACTTTAATACAGATTTAACTGCTAGTCTTTAATATTTTTTTTCTTTACAATCTAAAAGAAAATTAAAATAATAATCTTAAGCACATGTTAAAGCCGAATTTAACACAGTATCATTTTTTGGTAGAATACTTGTAACTGTTTGATACAAGGTAAGTATAGATTTTGTTTGTAAATACTTGAAATATAATCAGCAAAAGACGGTTATCTAATTTTCCCGCCAATTTTCCAGGTAAAAATGACCAGGACAATATCCCTCTGGTGGACAAAGAGAATGAGGAATACAAGGGAGGCGATCAGGTAGTGACCCACAGTTGTCTAACTTTGTTAATTTTTTTTCTAACTACACTACTACACCATCTGTATGCTAATTCTCACAATCAGATGGTACATAGAATATGTGATGTGTAGAACACACACATTAGAATGCAAATGTATTCATAAACGTTTACATGTGCATACATACCTACTGGTTCACCATAGCAGGTGAAGTAGTGTTCACGTAAGTTATCAGCAAATAAGGAAGCTGCTTTTTTCCCCAACTTTAACCACGTACAGGGGTCGGCGTGCGTGGTCGAGTCGGTAAAGCTCATGGTTGCTAAACCGAAGTTCGAACCCCCGGGGAGATAGTTGAACAGCAACTCTTCTAGGAAAGACAACTCCAAAATCAAGCAACTGCTGCCATTTAGTTTGTTCTTGGTTGGGCGAAGGCTATGGATAAAATTCGTGAAATCGGCATTAACGGATTATATGGCCCATAACAATTTGACACGTAACTTTATCGACCCCGTATAATAATAGTAGGTGGGTGGTAGAAATAGGTTACAATAATGTGACGTCATTTGTGAACTACTGCTAATTAGAAAGTTAGATAAGTAATGAGTTGAGAAAAACAAGCTGGAAACAGACAGGAATAACGCAAATACTTGAATAATTGTACATACTTTTTAAATTAAATTATTAATGACTGGGTGTTTTATGAGTTGAGTGGATGATCTGAATTATAAGTTGAGTGAGTGATTTGACTGATTGAATTGATGTATTATCAGTTGGGTGGATGTATTATGAGTTGAATGAATGATCTGAATGATTTAATTACTGTATTATGAGTTGAGTGGATGTATTATAAGTTGAATGGGTGATCTGAATGATTTAATGGATGTATTATGAGTTGGTGGATTATCTGAATGATTGAATGAATGTATTATGAGTTGACTGGATGTATTATGATTTGAATGGATGATCTGAATAATTGAATGGATGTATTGTATTATGAGTTGAGTGGATGATCTAAATGACTGTGTATGTTGAGATGTGAATGGACGCAAGCGATGACCAATGCATTCAGTTCCAGATTTATTCCCAGAACGAGGCTGACGTGGAGCCAGAAGACGATCAGGCTGAGACCGAGCTGTCCAGTGAAGACGTGCCCCAGAAGGAAGTGGTCAGCACAGAGCCCGAGCCAGCTGAGGCGGTGGTCAGCCCACAGGTCAACGACCCAGAGCCGATAGAAGTCTTGGAGACAGCGGTCAAGGCCAACGGGGTCAGTGACCTTCACTTAGTGATATGTTTTATGAAGACTAATTAATGAGTCCTAGAAGTAAAAACATAATGAACTTGAGATGGTTTCATAGATTCAGTTAAAGGCATATTAAGGTAAACACGTTTTCATGGATTCATCACACTTGAAAATTTATTGTGCTCAAATTGATATTATAGATACGTAGTATTTAAACATATTTTTGAGATCGAGAGGATTTCATAGAATTATCCATGTTAAAAAAAAAGTGTTGCGTACAAAAACGATTGCATTTAATTAAAATAGCCAAAAAGTCTGCAAAAGCCATTGAAGTAGCATCTTCAGAAACTCGTTACTACTGGGGAAAAAAACTTCTTGATAGAAATGTCTCTCATCTTAGTAGTATGATAGTCCACAGTTACCGTTATATCTGACCTCATTTGACCTCAGTTGACCTTAGCAATAGGACAGTGCCTAGTTACCTTTATATCTAGTTGACCTTAGATGACCTCAGTGGCTGACCTTAGCAATAGGACAGTGCCTAGTTACCTTTATATCTAGCTGACCTTAGATGACCTTAGTAGCTGACCTTATGATACTCTCCAGTTACCGTTTTATTTAGCCGACATCAAATGACCTCAGCGTCTGACCCTATTTGTTCCAGATTATCACAGAGTCCTCCGTACCATACCAGTACCAACCTACGTCACTAGAGGTACCGAATGACGTAGAGAGTAAGGAGAACCAAGATGATCCACAGGTACAATCTCTAAAAACTAAATCTTAAGAAAACTGATTGGAATTACCTTTGTTAAAAACAGACATACATTCAAAACTTGTAGAAAAAGAACATTAAGGTATTCCTAGATTAAACAACCCAAATGATATCATTGGGTATTTTTATTGTCGCAGTTATAAGGTAGAGGATTACAATGGTATAGATTTTGTTATATAACTTTGCTCAATCAAAAATTAACCCAAATTACTTTCATAAAATAATTTCAAAATTTAACTGCTATGATAATTTTGTATCATGCTTATTTGTTGTGCATGCTTGCGTATTATCATCTATTACGCATCGTTGTCCAATCTCTCTCTCTCTCTCTCTCTCTCTCTCTCTAAATGGCAGCTTTATACATAAGTTTTCGCTGTGTAGATTCTAACAAATGACGTGATACCTTCCTCTAACCCCACCCCCTACCCCCACCCAGCTGTCCCAGGAAGTTCCAGCCTCGACTCCCAAGTCCGAGAAGTCTCCCCTGATTAGCTCCGACCTGAAGGTCAAGGACGGCAAAGACACCAAGTTCAAGGATCACCAGCCAGGCTTTTTATGCTGCACAATTCTGTAGACTAGCGCTTGCCGCGCAGCTAGCGTTTGAAGACTAGTGCTCGCCGCGCAGCTAGCGTTGGTAGACTAGCGCTCGCCGCGCAGCTAGCGTTTGTAGACTAGCGCTCGCCGCGCAGCTAGCGTTTGTAGACTAGCGCTCGCCGCGCAACTAGCGTTTGTAGACTAGTGTTCACCTCGCAGCTAGCTTTACAAACACAACTAGTCGGTGCTGAGCTTTGAAGAAATGTATTTATATCTAGTCTTATCCTTTTTTAAAAAAAATTCATTGAATGGGTTTTGAATCAACATTTGATAAAAAGAAATATTACCATAACATTAATACTATTAAAAAGAAAGAATTATTTTAAAAAATTGGTTTACACTTTGTATGAGTATTTCTCAATGATTTTGTATAGTTAAATCTATTAACACTACGTATATATATATATATATATATATATATATATATATATATATATATATATATATATATATATATATATATATAACGAATAATAATAACTCCATTGTACCTGTATTTTGAAAACTTTCTTATAAAGGTTGATAACTTTCTATCAAATGTTGGCTCAATGCTATATTTTCAGTGTGTCTTATCCTATTTGCTTTAAGTGTGCGTTTTCTCGTGGGTCCTCATTCAAATAACTTTCAAACTTTCTAGTTGACTCTGTACATTAATCAGACATGTTATTTATAAAGATTTTAGTTGGCTCCAGTCTCGTTGTTTTTTATGTATGTCTGAAAGTTGATATTTTCTTGTCTTAGTTGAAGGCTTACACAGTTTATGTGGCCGTGGTTTATAAGAACTCATCTGCTTCATACTTTTATTGTTATCGGACGTGATTTATAACACATATAAATATTTTTTTAGCATTTTGAACATAAACATACTATGCCAAGTTTTACGTGTCATTAAAAGAACAGCTGTACAAAAAAAAATCATTTTTTAAACATAAAGAATTTTTTTTTTAAATGTGTATGGTACAAGAAAAATCGTTTGCCAAGTACAGTATGTTCAAAAATAGATTACTATATGTAAAATAAATGGAAATCAAAGTTTAAAAACGTTAGTAAAGAGAAACATTTTGTGAACTGATTTCATAGGAGAGTATTAATGTAGGCCTAAATATGTTGGAGTAAGTCGAAAATAAATCAAGGCATAATTTTCTTTCACGATAATTGTTCTTTCTGTGAGCGTGTCTTTCATGAGTCTGCCTAGACAGAGAAAGAAACGATTTCATGTTGTGTGTTGTCTTTCATTCATTCAATATGGCTGTGAAAATGAAGCTACCATTGTATAATGATTTAATATTTTTATATCTTATTTAGTAACATAAATATAATAAAAATCTACTTATACTCCCATTTAAATCTTTTATTAATTTAAGGTGCCTTATTATGTATTTGCAATGATGTGAATTGGAATTCTAAAAAAGAGTTTGAAGGAAATTATGTTCCTCTGGATTTAAGTCGTGTTCAACGAACTGCGTTTAAAATTCATCTTTACATTTCTATTTGATTTTTAAATTTTACAGCTATTTTAATTTAAAACTAACTACTAGATCTTTATTTTAGCAACGTATGTGGCAAAATTAGCACACTTCAGGATACCTAAATATTTTGTACAAGTTTTAAAAAATTTAAATTGTCATTTTTTAGCATGCACTTATAAGCGTTTAGCACAAATACTTTAATCAATGTATTATAATTTATCTAATTAAGAATTTTTTTGTCTCTAAAAGACATGCCAGTTGACATGTATATTTATTAATGTTTTTATTAATTAGCTGTGAGTGTAGGTACGAATTCATAATAATTCATGTACATTGTTTATATATTGTAGGCTAAACACTATGGTGGAGGTAAAGTTTATTATACTTTCTTGTTTGTATTCTAAAGTATATTGTAATTATGCTGTTTCAAATCATTTTTTTCGATCAGCTGTTAATTATTTCTTCTTGCCTATTGTAAACACACCGTTATTTTTTTTTATTAATCCAAGCCTTATTAAACGTATGTATTTGTTTCGTTCCGTAGCTTTTAAAATTTCTTACAATTCGTAATTTGAATTTGCTATGGTGAACTATAGCCTAAATTTTATTGAAGTGTTTTAAGTGTGTGGTATAATTTAACTCTTTAGCGCATTTGGATCTTATTCTCATACAAATTTAAACCATCGACGTCAGCTTTCATTTTACTTTTACTCTGGCTTGCCAGTTTGAATTTGAAAAAAAATGTCTGTATTTTATTTCTACCTTACATTATAGTTATAGATATCACTTTCTTCCCTTATAAAATGGTTTGACTATCATAGAGTTGGATGATCAAAATGGTTAAAATTACATTTTCGAAGGAAAATGTGTTGAAATTTTAATCGTATCTTTTCATTCATTCTCTCCGTATCTTGACAGTGTCAGACGTTCATTTCAAACTTTGTCTCTGAATTTTCAAAAACTCAAACCAGTTTTAAGGCTACAATAAGTGACAACAATTTGTGTTGTCGTTGTCCTTAGTTGTGGTACATGAAACCGTTTGGGGGTTTATCTTTTGGAGGATATTCCCGACAAATGAGTTCAAATTTTTTAAATTTGTTTTTTGTCAGTCGAACCACGTTATTGGGTGTCTGTCGTACTCTATGTTACATTAACATTTTCAATATTTATGTATTTCTAAATTTGTTTATTCGACGTGTGAGTAAATAAGCCTAAATAGTGAGTATAAAATTTTAAACATTAAATTTGGAACCAGATTATATTTGTGCTTTGTTTTTTTTGTTTTTTTTTTTTTGTTAAATGCGGTACTCACAATACGCGGAAAACTTTAGAGCTAGGTGCAACGGTAAAATATCCTACCTGCGCGGACGTTTTTATTTACTCTCGTGTTAAAAACAAATTCAATCAATATCGAAACAGAAGTGTCTCATTCTCAATACCTTAATCACGCAACTGAATATCATTTAATGATAGCTAAGCATCTTTTTTTAAACGTAAGTTTAAGGTTCATGTTCAGGATCGTCCAACTATTTGCTCATGTTTTCAATGTGTTCAGCTGTTGCAGAAATTGCGTCTTTTTATCAGAGTGTTGGGTTTAACCCGCCTTATAATAGAACGTGTCATTGTTATTGTATCAGCATCCCGTGCCTTAAACCGGAGGGGAGGTTAATTTATTCGATCGTTGGAAACGTTTTTCATGTAACTTTATTTGGTCTAGTCAAGTTGATGGTATGTACATTTGGCTTAGCTAGGGGGAGGAGGCGTGTTCTATTATGAAAAACGTAGTTCATAAATAAAGAATTTATTTTTTAACTCATACTAAATATATTGAATAAACCCACTAGGTAACATATCTGCTTACATTATGGAATGACAGCTCATTATCACTGTAACACTGTTGTCTTCCGTTTTTCCATTGTGTATGTTGTTGATTTTTTCAAATTTCTACCATCACATAGCTAACTATCTATCAATGCACAGGCTCTGTAATCCTTCTCCTACTCTTTCTAACAGTGTTTACAATTATTTATTTTTGGAGACTTTCGACAATTAGTGTAGCATAAATAGTTTTTTTAGAGGCTGGTGAATAACGCAATTAATAAAAGCTCTAAAAACTCATTATGTGTTGTTCTTACTTTAAACAATTAGACTTATTAATTGTTACTAAACTATTGATTAAGGTTAGAAGTCGCAAACGAGTAACACTTTGAAAAAAAAAAAGAACGACTGCGGCAGAGAATAGAAAATGTTTAAAATTTGAATGATTTAAAATTTGTTTAAAATTAGCGGATACTGTCGTGAGACAAAGTCGTTTCTGTCACCAGATAATCTATACAATGATTTCTCTTTCCCAGATCTATATATATAAAGCAAAGTGGTCGGGTGCCCGATAGGGCACTTCCCGGCGCCGCAGGCGCGTCAAATTTGGCACGATGGTGCCTTGGGGCGATAGAACACGAGGGCCGGTGACGGTTCGCCGAAAAGTCTACGGAGAGGGGGTCAAAACTGACCTCGACTGACCAGCGCCTTATATGGGCTATATTACGAAAAAAAATTTCCTCCGACGACCCCCCTTGAAATTTTGTGAGGTGGTAGGAGAACGCCTTGGGGTGTCACAAAAAACTCGGCATATCTGGGAAAACTTCGTAAAGGGGTCAAAACTGACCAGTTGTATTTCCCTATATAATCTTTGTATTTTATGGGAAAAACAGAGGGTCATTTCAACGCAGACTTTAGGGTACTTAAGCTCAGTATATCTCGCTAATTTTTTGCATACTCTTAGGTCAATGGCTTGACCTTTAGGGAAAACTGTCGGTTTCACTCAAAGCCCTCGACGAGGGCTAAAAAGTGACCGCGAGTGAAATTCTCTTTATATGAGCTCTAATACAAAAAAAAATTTCCTCCGACGACCCCCCTTGAAATTTTGGGAGGTGGTAGGAGAACGCCTTGGGGTGTCATAAAAAACTCGGCATATCTGGGAAAACTTCGTAAAGGGGTCAAAACTGACCAGTTGTATTTCCCAATATAATCTTTGTATTTTATGGGAAAAACAGAGGGTCATTTCAACGCAGACTTTAGGGTACTTAAACTCAGTATATATGGCTAATTTTTTGCATGCTCATAGGTAAATGGCTTGACCTTTAGGGAAAACTGTCGGTTTCACTCAAAGCCCTCGTCGAGGGCTAAAAAGTGACCGCGAGTGAAATTCTCTTTAAATGAGCTCTATTACGAAAAAAAATTTCCTCCTACGACCCCCCTTGATATTTTGTGAGGTGGTAGGAGAACGCCTTGGGGTATCACAAAAAACTCGGCATATCTGGGAAAACTTCGTAAAGGGGTCAAAACTGACCAGTTGTATTTCCCTATATAATCTTTGTATTTTATGAGAAAAACAGAGGGTCATTTCAACGCAGACTTTAGGGTACTTAAACTCAGTATATCTGGCTAATGTTTTGCATGCTCATAGGTAAATGGCTTGACCGTTAGGGAAAACTGTCGGTTTCACTCAAAGCCCTCGACGAGGGCTAAAAAGTGACCGCGAGTGAAATTCTCTTAAGATGAGCT